ACTACTTGGCAGCTCCACTCATTGACCTGACCCTTTCCCGGAACATAATACTTCCTCATACTATAGTGAGGATTAGTGACAACAAGACGCTTCTCCCTGCCCTCAACTTCTCCGTGCCGACCCAGGTCATTCCTCAAGGTATTGCCTTAGCAGAACTCTCCACTCTGGAGGAATGTACGATTTCATCTCTCACTCCTGACATCAAGACCGTAGCCGAACCTGTCGCAGCTGCACAGAATAGAGCTTTCCTAGACAAAATGATATCAAACGCTCTGTCGCCATCCCAAGTTGAAGCGCTCCGTGGTCTTCTATTTTCTTACCTCAACATTTCTGATATAGACAACCGTTCCTTGGGCCGCACAAGCGTTGTAGCCCACTGTATCGACACTGGCGACGCCAGTCCCCTTCATAAGCGTCCTTACCGTGTGTCTCATTCAGAGCGCCAAATAATCCAGAAGGAGGTAAAGAAGATGCTCGACAAAGACGTCATAGAGCCTTCAACCGGTCCTTGGGCATCACCTGTTGTGCTAGTTAAAAAGAAGGACAACACCTGGCGGTTCTGCATCAACTATCGCCATCTCAATAGAATAACCAAGAATGATGTCTATCCTCTACCTCGAATTGATGATGCGCTTGACTGCCTTCATGGTGCCAAGTATTTCTCTTCCCTGGACCTACGATCTGGATATTGGCAAATTGCAGTCGATGACCGCGACTGCAAGATGACGGCATTCAAAACACCCGACGGGCTTTATCAATTCAAAGTCATGCCTTTTGGGTTGTGCAATGCACCAGCAACTTTTGAACGCATGATGGACTCCCTCCTTCGCGGTTTTAAATGGTAGACGTGCCTGTACTATCTAGACGATGTCATCGTTTTCTCGCCCACCTTTGAAAGTCATCTTCCACGTCTGTAGGCCATTTTTGATGATTTTCGCTCTGCTGGCCTCCAGTTTAACGCGTCTAAGTGCACCTTTGGACGCCGTCAGATAAAGCTACTTGGCCACCTTGTTGACGCTACTGGTGTACCACTCGACCCTGATAAAGTCCACATGGTGGGCGAGTTTCCGGCCCCACGTTCCACGCAAGAAGTCCGCAGCTTTTTGGGACTCTGTTCATATTTCCGCTGTTTTGTCAGCAACTTCGCGGAAATTGCTCGGCCCCTCACGTATCTCCTCAGGAATGTGACTTTTTCCTGTCGTGAAGACCAAGAACATTCCTTAGCGTCCTTAATTTCTGCACTCACATCACCACCTGTGTTGGCTCATTTTGACCCAGCCGATCCAACGGAGCTTCGCACCAACGCAAGTGGCCATGGCATAGGGGCAATACTCGCACAAATGGAGAACGGCACAAACCATGTCATAGCCGCCTACTTTCTTAGTCGGAAAGGAACTATTCAATTACCGAGCGAGAGTGCCTGGCTCTCATCTGGGCTATCGCAAAATTTCGTCCGTTCCTATATGTACGCACGTTCGCAGTCATCACAGACCACCATGCGCTCTGCTGGCTGTCAACCCTTGAGGATCCTACACAAAGACTCGGGGAATGGGCATTGCAATTGCAGTACACATTGTCTGTAGTGTACAAGTCTGGCAAGCTTCACAGCGATGCCGACTGTTTATCTCGACAACCTGTTGATCCACCCGACTCCTCCGAGTTGGAAGCTGATGCCAAAATCCTAGCCATAATAGATTTTCCGCAAATAGCCGACGAACAGCGCCGAGATCTATCGCTGCTATCGATGATTGACCGTCTTCCATCCAGCCATAAAGACCCTTCACTGAGCCTATTTTTTCTTCAAGACAACGTTTTGTACCGCCGCAACTTACAGCCCGATGGCGCAGAACTTTTGCTCGTCGTCCCTCGTCATCTGCGCAAGGACATCTTGCAAGAACTTCACAATGCCCCAACTTCCGGACATTTAGGTGTCTCCAGAACCTATGCCCACGTCCGCCGACGGGTATTCTGGAAGGGCCTTTATCGTCCCGTTCGCCGCTACGTTGCAGCGTGAGACCTGTGCCAGCGTGGGAAGAAGCCTATGTCTCTCCCTGCCGGTCACCTTCAAGCTATTGAAGTCCCAGCCAAGTTGTTTCATCGTGTGGGTTTGGATTTGTTAGGCCCCTTCCCAACATCGGCAATGGGAAACAAATGGATAGCAGTAGCCACGGATTATGCCACTCGGTATACAATTACTCGAGCGCTACCGACCAGCTGCGCAACGAACGTCTCAGATTTCCTACTCTATGACATCATCCTTTAGCATGGCGCTCCTTCTCACCTCCTCATGGACCTTGGCCGCTGCTTTCTGTCTCGTGTGGTTGACGACCTACCTTCTTAGATCCTGTGCTACGCCGCACAACTTTACGACTTCTTACCATCCTCAGACTAACGGACTTACTGAACGCCTCAACCGCACACTGACGGACATGCTTGCTATGTATGTTTCTGACGACCACACCGATTGGGACACTGCCCTTCCGTTCGTAACCTTCGCCTACAACTCGTCGCGTCGTGAAATTGCCGGCTACTCACCATTTTATCTTCTCTTTGGCCGTGATCCCTAACTACCTTTCGATACCCTGCTTGCGCATGACGCACAAGATGCCATCTCCCATGCTCTGATCGCACGTACAATAGCCCGCCCCAGGTTGTCATTGTCCCAGAAAGCACAAAAGTTTCTCTACCACAGCCGACATAGGGATGTCGATTTTTCTCCGGGCTCTCTTGTGCTACTGTGGCTGCCATCCCATCGTGTCGGCCTGTGCGAGAAACTTTTATTGCAATACGTTGGGCCTTACCGAATTCTGCGCCAAGTCACACCTGTCACCTATGAAATTTCTCCAACTATGAACCCCACTGTTACATCCAGAAGTGACATTGTGCATGTTTCTCGCCTGACCCCCTATCACAGTGACCCGTCCGTCCAATAGCAGCAGGCACCAGGACGATGCTTTGCTGCCCGGGGTACTGTCACGGGTATAGAAAGGTACCTCAGACATGGGTGCAGAAATGACGCAGAAAGGATGAAGACAACAATGTTGTTGTAGGGCAGTGTCTGGACTGCCCTGTTGTCCTGCATCCTTGCACATTGTGTGCAGTGTTAGCCCAACCGGCGTTAACTTATTAAATACTCCCCGTTACAATATATTTACATCTGTCACAAAATTTGAACCAACGCACTCCCTGTGCCGAGCACGACATGTTAGCTTACTAGGACCAATTGTTTCAGTGGGCTTAACAAGCTGCTCTAGCATTGTTATCACGCTGGACGTAACCAAGAGGCCAGGGTCCGCTCTTTGCGAGCCGCAGGGCTTGCGATAACTGTCGCCATGGCGAGAACACTGTACTGCTCAAGGCCGCAACACTTTATTGCCTGTAATAACAACAAAGACACAGTATAGAGCCTGTTCCAACAGGTAAAGCGGGAAAGTAAATGGGCTTATCCACGCCCTGAGCGAGAAGTACAACATAGGGTACCGCGAGCACGTCTCTGTGGGAAAAAGTGATTCACAGCGACACCGGGACAAAGGACCCAATCGCTCGAGCGAGGGCGAACTCCGCTCACGTTGGCTTCCGAGGGGTACGAGTTGGTGTAGTTTGACCACACACTAGGACACCACACCGCTCTTCGGCCTAGTGCGTGAAACGTTGGAGAGGGGGGACAAAAAGTAAGCATTCACTGTGGGTGCAAGGCGCCATTAGCAAAGTCCAAATGAGCCGACGCGTGGTGCGCGCGAGACATCCCGAGAGACTTTGCGCACGGCGCCACAGTCGACATTCGCTACCGGGTGAGAGGGGTTCAAAGTCACTCCCCGCTTCCCTCAGTGCGGCAGACCGCAGAGGAGGGGAAGTACTTTGGTTTGGGCTAGCTGGTTCATAGACCTTTCTAAGCGAGTTCTAAGGAAGAGGGAAGTCATGTCGGGACATGAGTACGCAGAAAGAGGCGGCAAAGCCCACGCAAAGACGACAGGCTAGCCTCGATTCCCACAGTACTGTCACGCTAGACGTAACTAAGATTTGTTATTTTTATGTATAGACGAGACGTTAACAGCTTCCATCATTATGTTTAGATGTAACGCTTGACACTCCGCTTGCAAATGCCATGTTCAAAAGGTCCATCCCTGTGTTGTTTTGCACAGATAATACAGACAATCCCGGATATATTGAACTTCTATTGGCTTGTATATTTACGTCTTGACGTAACTATAGCGGTTTTTTTAGCTAGGTCTGGACCAATGCCTCCTCTAGAAAGACGCCTGCGACGACGCATGCTTTCCCATGGGGACGGGAGTTCTTTAAAGTACAGCACTTTCTCCACAAGGAGCATTCGCAGCCGACACCACTACTTCCGCTGGATTCTGAAGTGACGCTATCACAGACACACCTGTGTTGCCTCTGAGACGACATAAGGCATTGCTTTAATCTTAGTTGCTGCAAGGTTTAAAGTGGCCACTGCAGCGAGTGATCGCAGCCATCACTGTTTGGGGAAGCGGAGGAGGAGAAAACAGGAGAGGCCCAGGAACCAGCTCTTTGTATTACGTTGCAGGCATCTTTCTGGGGGGAGTCATTGTCTGGACGTAACTCTAGCCACATCACTACGCAAATGGAATCACACTTTGTCTAGAGCGGTGGATTGCGTTGCTGCGGACGCTGCTGTTGTCCGCAGCTGCTATGAAATGTTAGCAACCGGCTTCTGTTCATGCTTGAATCATATATAGCGTAAGGGCCCAGCATGCGGTGCGACTATGTTCGGTGTCCATAAGGCGTCGGTCTTTGCATATTTCTGCAGAAAAAGGCAGCTGAAGCTGGCCGCCCTAGACAAATGTGATTACATCTGCACACGAATTGTGGTGACGCATCAGAGACAGAGTGTCCTTTCTTTTCACGTAGTTGCAAGTACTGTCGGGGGCAAGGATTATCTTGACGAAGACGACTTTGTCTGCCAAAGTCGACCGACACACTGTTTCTGCGCGAGTCATCGCACGAACGCAACTCGCCTTTAAGAGGTCGGCCAACGGCAGTGCCTGGTCTGCAATACTCTGCAGGTGCTTGTTCTCAGCAGTCAGGAGCTCGACCGTCAGGTGCAGCTGCGAGTGTGTAAACGGTATACGCTCCTCTCTCGTACTTTTTATCAAGAGGCGGCGCTCACCTGCTCGTTCTCCTTGAGGGCCTCCTCGAGTGCGACGCGCCTCTGTTCGGCAAGCTCCTTCCAGTACTGGCCACTGCCGCTAGAGTCCTCCTTTCTGCCGCAATTCTCGGCCTCTGCGGGCTGCCCAAGTAAAATCGCATCAGACAAGTACCCATGCACAGCGGCCGCCGGCTTACCTTTCGACTTAGGAGGAGGCCCTTCACACTAAGCTGCTGCTGTTGCACTTCACTCAAGGCTTTTCGTTTGACACCCTGTAAAGATAACGTTGAACACGTGCTGTGGGAAGGCTGTCTTCGAAATTACCTTGCTCGAGGCCTTCATTTTTGCCGTTGGCGACAAGACAGCAGCCTGACAGGAGTGCGTCTCAAACACGACCTCATTCGCGCCAGAACTAAGTGCTCTAGATACCAAAACTAGAGTGTACTAGAACAAGGGGAGTGCCCGGACCGAGATCCAAAAAGTGAGGCCCAAACGGGGTCAAATCCGCTAGTGGCGCTGCGATCGGTAGTCTGTGACCTGTCGTCGTTTTAAGAGCCGTGCGCAGCTCCGCCGAAGTGGTCGAGGGGTAGAATGCTCGCATCCCACTAAAAAGACCCAGGTTCGAATCACCGCTGTGACCATAGATTTTTTTTTTAATTTCACGTGTACAACTGTATTGTTTGGCTTTTTTTTTAAATATGCCTTCAGTTTCTACATATTGCTGCAAAACATTACGCGAGATATGAAGTAAAGGAGAAAAAAACTTGACAGCAAGCGCATTTATTTGCAGCGCCACCGCACGGGATTCAACGAAAACTTAAAAGCATAGCTTGCGAGATTTTAGCGAATAAAAGAGAGACGGTGTGCTTTCACTCGCCTGCGGTCGCCGCCCACTGGCTCGCTTAAAAAAAGAAAAAGAAAAACTGAAAGTAAACGATTTTCAGTCGGCGGGAAGTCGCGAAGGTTTGAATACTGGTAAAGCAGCGATGTTCTGTCTGCTCGAGTTTTCAGTGTTCCTCCTCACACTAAATGCGTAAGATATTGGCGTGTAACATTAATAAAGCTATCACGAGGTGTGCGGAAACAGACAGGTGAACGTGTTCATATTTTTGTGGCAGACGATAAAAAAGCGCTGTCCGCAGTGCTCGTGCGCGAAACCTCATAGTTGCCGCAGCGGGCTGGCGGTGTAGCCGAGCAGACGACACGCGTGTTCCCCTTCAGATGTGGACCCCTCTGTACAAGTGAGAGTCTCACGTCCTGTTACACCTTTCGCAAATGAAACCAAAGCGGCAGGGCAACTGCTGTGTGCCCGGCTGCGGGGTTACCTACATAGGATCTACTGAAGGCAGTAAGTGTTCGCTATTCGCCGTTCCAACATCTCCGACCCTGAGGGAGAAATGGGAGTACAGCTTACGCTTGCCAAGAGGGCACATGAAAAGTTCAAGTGTGGTCTGCGAGGCACATTTCGAGCCGCATCATCTGCTTCGAGACTTCGTGCACATTATAGGCGGTAGAGAGGTCAGGTTGCCCCGTGACCGGCCAAAGCTTGCAGTCGGAGCAGTGCCTGTTATACTGAGTGGACAACAACGTTCCGACGGGGGTGACCAGGTGACTAATAATTCGACAAGTCGTCAGCATGCCAAACAAGATGCCCCCGGGCCATCAATGACCAAGTGCGAAGAGAAAAAAAGGTCCTCTAGCGCTGCGAGCTTGACAGAGAGGCATGCAAAGTGTGTGAAGTCGGCAGCGCATCCCGTGATGGACTGCAATTCGGAGACACAAGGCGGTACCACGAATGAAGGAAGACGTTCCCTTCTTACACTGACGATGCCGTCAACCTCCAGATGGACAGCCCTTCAGTTCCCGCATGTTGATGGTGTCTTCTATGTCACCTCCACACTAATACCGCCTTCAGAAATATCCCATGACAAAGTTATATTCCTGAAAGAAGAAGAAGACGGACTTCTCTGCCGAACACATATAAACGGCAGTCCTTACGACGAAAAACGGGCTCTATCTTTCGCACAGGCAGAGGAACATATGCAAAAAATCGACGCAGCTTCTGTATGCCCTGGCTCCATAAGGAAAAATGAACCTAATGATGGCCCACTTGAGACATTTGCCTCTGGACGGAACTTCAGATGCCATGGAGGAGCGTTTTACAGCAGAAGCTGTGAAGGTGTTGTACCTAACGGAGGTAAGTAGGTCTATGTACTTCACCGATACGGACAGAGCTTAAATTAAAGCGTATAGGAGAGGGACGTTTTGATAAAATTTATGGTGATTTTGAACGAGTTGTCTAAATATATGCAAGGAAACGACATTAATATGCACATCTTATTTCCATTTGCATGTTTTAATTGCTAACGGGCAGGGGTGTTTCTCTTACAGAGGTATAAAAAAAAAAGATCGCACAAGTTTACATTTCATGTGTGCAATTATTATCACGAAAATAAAAGAAAAAGAACTCGAGTGAAATTTATCACTGTTTAACACTACTGTGAGTTAATGTTCTTCCCATTACTCCTCTCAAATCGAGAAAGCTTGATGGTTGACGGTGCGTGCGTGCATATGTTTGTGTGCGTTAATGCGACTGTTTGTGGGTAGGCGTCTGTGTGTGTCTGTCTGTGGGGCGTAAACATGTAATCAGACCTTTTTTTTTTAACTGTGCAGGTGTAAAATGCCGTCCATGCGCCAAGGCAAGGCTGTCCCTGATTAGGAAAAAATGTAAGGTGATGCGTACCACTGCTGCTACTGGTGCCACTTCTGCAAAGCGAGCCATTTGTCGCCAAACGAAAACCTTGAGACAGCAAAATCGCCGACTGCTTGGACGGGTGTCAAACTTGAAATCAAAACTGAGAGAAATGGTGAAGCAGAACAAAGCTATAAAGGAAGGCACTTTTGAAGAAAGTATTGCTGACATGCCTCCAAAACAAAGAGAAGCAGCACTTCATTTTTTCCGCGCTTCCAAACGAGCGAGTACCAGGGGATTAAAATTCACTCAGAATTGGATCTTAGAGTGTCTGCTCATGAAGATGAAAAGTCCAAAGCTTTACAAATACATGAGAAGCAACAAGATCTTAGTCCTACCAAGTGAAGACACCTTGAGGAAATATTTGAGCTCGTACAAGACAGGGTTCGGTTTCTGCACAAGGGTCCTGAGTGCTCTAAAAAAAAAGACGAGATCTATGGACGCCTTTAAGCGACACGGAGGGCTGCTAATTGATGAAATGAAACTATCTGAACACTTGTCAGTCACATCCGCCGCCACTATTGAAGGTTTGGTTGATTTAGGCCATTTTACATCAAAAAAAGATAAATGTGAGCCATGCGACCATGGCATGGTGATTATGTTTGCACCTTTCACCGGCAAGTGGACACAAGTATTAGCAGTATTCGCAACACACGGGAACGTTAAAGGAGAGCTCCTCGCGAAAATTCTAGTGGAGGCTGTATTGCTTGCAGAAGATGCCGGTCTTTTCGTGGACTTTGTCACTTGCGACGGTGCGACATGGAACAGGAAGATGTGGAAGGTACTTGGAATCGAAGCAACGTCTGAGAACATTCAATGCAGAATGAGGCATCCCAAAGACAGCAGTCGCTACGTCCACTTCCTTTCGGACTTTCCGCATCTCATAAAGTGTCTTCGCAACAACTTGCTCCTCCACGACTTCAACACTCCAGATGGGCTGGTAGGTTTTCAAGCTCCCATTTATTCCTTTTTCTTCTGTTGTTTTATTGTTGTGTGTTTGTTATAGAACTTGAACGAATGCTTTCCGATAATTTTTGCGTTTATGTTATGGAGATACACTTCGTTGAGAAATGTATGCTTCGCGTCCAGTTGGTTCATTGGGTAAATGTCAATGTAAGATAGCACTCACTCACTACAGTTGAGGAAAACAAACTGGGAAGGCTGCCGGAGCGCCGCCATAGTCCTCTTTGTGGGCTGTTGTTACCATGAGTGACACTCCCCCTCCCCTCCCTCCAAGAAAAAAAAGAAAAAAAAATGTCTGCTGAACTTGAGATGTCGGATTTAGGGCTCCCATGCAACAGCCCAGAAGGGATGGGGTCCTCGATCCTCTCCATTCAAAAAACAATAAAAGAAAAGAAAAGGTTTGTAGACGTTTTAGTGCGACAACGTTAGAACTGTATCTACAAAATAAAAAAGAATCCTGTGTTCGCGTGGGTTTGGCGGACAAATTCGTTCGCTAATTCTGGAACATCGCCAAATCAAGTATACACACACACACACACACACACACACGTATATATATATATATATATATATATATATATATATATATATATATATATATATATATATATATATATATATATATATATATATATATTGCCACGAGGCCACCCATCTTTTCACCGAGACCTACTAACTTCTCGAGATCCATGGTGTCTCGCAAATAAAACCTTGCCACGTGCACAAAATATCTGCCTAAAACGGTCTATCGGAACACTCTCTGCTCACTCGCTAACGAGAACAATGAGCAACACACAGAAATCGGACCGATAGCACTATCAACGACTCGAGGCTCTTTCTCACTACTTTGGACACACCGTGCACCATATATATGGTGCACGGTGGTTATATATGGTTATATATATATATATATATATATATATATATATATATATATATATATATATAACATTATTTTGACACTTTACAATAAACTATTGCTATATGCTAAGGAAAGGCCTTTGCTCAGCAGGAGGAAGAGTCGGGAATGATCCGAGATTCGTAAACTGTACGAATTTGTCCGCCAAACCCACTCGAACACAGGATTCTTTTTTTATTTTGTAGATACAGTTCTAACGTTGTCGCACTAAAACGTCTACAAACCTTTTCTTTTCTTTTATTGTTTTTTGAATGGAGAGGATCGAGGACCCCGTCCCTTCTGGGCTGTTGCATGGGAGCCCTAAATCCGACATCTCAAGTTCAGCAGACATTTTTTTTTCCTTTTTTTTCTTGGAGGGGGGGGGGGAGTGTCACTCATGGTAACAACAGCCCACAAAGAGGACTATGGCGGCGCTCCGGCAGCCTTCAGTGGAAAAGTCTATACTTCTTACGACGTTAGCTTTCGTTTGACGAAGCCGCACGCCACCTACCGGCATTGAGCATTGGACTCGGTAGTCGACCTTTTACGTACCGTATGAAGCGTGCGGCGATGTTTCGTTTCATGATTTCATGGCAGTAACCGTCTCCTTCCAAGCTTGTGCATCGGCCTTAGTGGCGGATCCAGGGGAAGGGGGGGGGGGGAACAGGGGCGATCGCCTTCCTTCCCTAAATTTCTGTCAGCGCTCCTCCCCCTCAATTCAATGCTCGCAGTCCACCTCCTATCACCAATTAGGACAAATGAGTGGAACCCCTGTGAGCACATAGTAACAGTGTTGGCACAACGAAGAGGTTTTTCTG